GGCGACCTCGAGCGGACGCGCCGACAAGGACAAGGAGGTTGAAACGAGCGGCCATGTGTAGCTGACAAACCTCTTGGTCGAAAATGACAGTTCGGTATATAGGGTGCGTTCGGTTCGTCCAAAGCACGTGCTTTTCACGTACTTCGAGGCCATCCACGTAACTTCGAAAAAAATATGTTACGCGGGGCATTCGGTTCAAATCCGCGTAACTTGGCGTACTTTGCCGCCAAAGCACGTCTTTTCAAAAAACGCCTCGGCCGGCCAGCCGACTCAAACCAGCGGCGAACGTTGGGATGCTTTGGGATATATCCTGCCCTCAATCAGAAAAACCTAATTTCGGTCCTTTTTCACAGATCCCTGATTTGATTTCCAGCAGCGACATTGTCGCGACCATTGCCGCAGCGCGCCAAGTCGACACGCTTGGAAGGACCAGGGAGCGCATGCCGCCGCGGACGATGGGCGCGCTCGATTAGATTTGTGGTGATTATAGTACACACGCAGAGCGCGCTCGTGTTGCTTTCTTATCGACACGGCAGGCGCCATCACGAGGTCGAGCGCCGCTACATCGTCGCGCCACCAAGCAGCCGCTAGCGAAGCCGGCACGAGGCGTATGAGGAGGAGAAGCGCATAGAGGGTATGCGCCGTCGACAGACGCCTCAAGCGCTTACCTTGTACGCCGCCACTCATCGCATTGAGGACCCACGCTTGCCGCTCGGGTCGCGTCGCGCAGGACCATCCATGCGCTGTCCTAAAAATCCCAAAGTCGGCGTACATGGATGAACCGAACGCGATTTTGCAATCCGCGTAACAAAAAGCACGTACAGTCGACTCTGCCTAAGTGCATAGTGCATATTTCATGGTATTTAAAGGGTAATCGATTGTGAGAGTAAAAATATAAAATCGTGCTTTACATATTATTGTGAGAGGCTGGTGCGAGCCGCGGCTCCATGTGAGGCTCAGTCCTGGGCTGCGCGCCTCGCGTACGCGGACGTCGTCGTGCCTGCGCTTGTCCTCAGCGAGCTTGCGCCACATGGCTTCATCGCGGACGTAGCGCGAGATCGTGGACTGGTTGAGTGACGGGAAGCCGTTCTCCTTGAAGTGCTTTGCTGTGCGCGTTTGGTTTTCGCCATGCGCATGGTAGTACTCGAGGATCTCGACCCTGGTGATGACCTTGGGCTGCGACTTCTTCAGCGCACCCGCCGGATTGGCGCGCGACTTGCGCGTTGGCTTCTTCGGCGGCTTCTTGGCCATCGAGAAGCGATTCAAAAGTGGTTGGCTTTTCCACCATCACGAATTTTTATTCAAATTGGCGTATAAAAATATTTGGGACACTATCACCGCGAGAGGATTATCGAGTTTGAGTGGTATGCACTTAGGCAGAGTCGACTGTAACGAAAAACCTTGCAATCGAAGTTATGCGGATTTGCGATACGTGCTTTGAAAGTACGCGGTGCACCGAACGCACCCATAATCTCTAGTGTGTGCAACCAGAGATTGCTTTGGATGCACTCAGAGAGACAATCATTCACGCGCAAAAAGAAAGACATTCATTCATACCTCCGAGTCCTTTCTACAGTACGAGACGCTGTGATTGCGTACTGGTGGCCGCCACGCGAGCTCAAAATACATTTCACCTGATCACAGCAACATGGTGAAGCGCACATCGAGGCCAGGCCCGGCAACTGTCGCCGCCGCAACGCCCATGCCAATGGTCTCCTCGTTCTCGCCTTACATCGCGTCCAACCGAGTCTGTAGAGCTCGTACCAGGTTTTGCTCGACGGTTTTCGCAGCGGCAAAATTCCTCCAGGCCTTGAAGTTGACACCATACTTGACGACGTACGTGTACCTCGTACC